TGTTGCAGTCGCCGATGTAATGTCTGTCAACAACAAGTACATAAATAATTATCTATAAGCTATGTTCCTGGTTTTTTATTAAACAAAATAGTTGATGAATAGACAGTTTATTACGAATCAGTGCCTTTAGCCAAACGCCACTTTAGCGCTTGTCTACAGAGAGAGTAGAAATCAAAATGTATGGGGATGACACTGATAAGCGTTAAAATTTACGTCAATTCTATATAATTTGGTTTTCTATTCTACATGTAGACAAGCGCTAAATGGCATTTGGCTATAGCTACAGGGTAGGACACAAAATCAAACCTTGCGGACTCCCATTCGAAATAGATTTTGTTCAAACCACAAAATATGAATGCAATGTTTATTTGCTACTTACGATTACTGTTTGCATAAATTATATTGATCTTATTTTGTTTTGATGTAAATAGCTCAATGGGGTGGCTTATCAAAATCCATAAAGTCGACACTTTTTGCTTAAAAGTACCTATAATAACATAACATCACGCCTTTTTATCCCCAAAGGGGTAGGCAGAGCAGAGGTGCACATTTCAGCACTTAATGCCACTGTACAATGTAACACCCACTTTTCACTATTTATGTTATGAGTCCCATGTAATAGGGGGTGAGCCTATTGCCATATACCGGGCACATTTCCAGACTCCGTGCTACTAATACTTTTTCCGACGCGGGAATCGAAACCGAGACCCCTTGCCCGGCAGTCGCACTTGCGACCACTCGGCCAACGAGGCAGTCCTATAATAAAAATTTAAAATTGGACCTGACTCATATTCCAGTGTTTCATCATACATTTATAAGTACCTAGGTAGGTATATTTCAACATTTAAATTAAATCAATACGTAAGTAAATCCGTACGTTCGTGAAAAATCCAATAACTACTTTACGAGTGTTTTTGCGATTTTCACCTGTAGATTATTTTGAATGAAATAGCTTCCAGAATCTTTAAAAATAAATCGTGAGTATTATACCTACAACCGGATCCTACAAGGAGATTACGATTACGATTAATTAAGAGAGACACGTTGGAATGAGCAACTAGCTTCACTTCTAAATTTTTGTTGTTGACGTTAAAAAGTGCCTTCCTGGTCTAAATGAAATAAATGATTTTGACTTTGACTTTGAATTAATTGGAATCAATATCTAGTTGAAACTGAAGTTAAGTCGCGTATAATATCTGTCTCGTTACTGAAATAATTTATTTTATATCGTTGTATATTTCTAATAAATTAAGTCATAAACTAATCAAGTCTAAGTGCAGGGATCATGTCTCTATTAATATGTATTTACCTATGAAACTGTCGTACTGCAGTAATGGCCATTTCAAATCTAAATAACTTTTGCTGGCTAAGAATTCCAATTTCAAATTTATTTTATTTAAAAAAACATGTTCTTTTTTCGAACGTAGTAATTTGTTTATTGATTAATGTGTGTATATAGCTCAAACATGTTCTGTGGCTCAAACTGAATGGCATATTAGAGGTATTTTATTTAGAGCAGTAAAGACACTTTTGCAATTAAAAAGTAACATAACATAACATCACGCCTTTTGTCCCCGAAGGGATAGGCAGAGGTGTACATTATGCCATTGTACAATGTAACACCCACTTTTCACTTTATGTTATGAGTCCCATGTAATAGGGGGTGAGCCTATTGCCATATACCGGGCACAATTCCAGACTCCGTGCTACTATTGTCATTTTTTTAAAAACCCATTTATCATTTGTTTTTAATTGGAATCTGATTGTATAATAATTGTAATAGGGATGATGACAGGGTATGAAAATTAAAAATCTAATTATTCCGTCAGTTCGGTAATGAAAAAATATTATACACGTATTTTTTTTATTTTGTTGTATAATAAAATGATACTTAGTTAAAACGAATCAAAGTTTAAGAGTGGGGGCTAAAACGTCATTTCTACGTATAAAATGTACATAGAAGTGACGTCACGCGACATTTCAAATCAATATATTGTCGAAAGTATTCATTTCTGTAAAAAAATAAAAAATACGAGTGTAATGTTTTAAAATAATCTACCAGACGGACATTAAAATAAAAGTTAGTCATCTACCTACTAGTAATTGATAATCTTATACATATGTTTTACTAATACTAGTTGTATGAGAAATTTGGTACTAAACATTTACTAAACCCGAGCGTACGGCGCGTCGCGTTCCGCGCGCGCCTCAAAGAGCCATCAGGCCACCACAGATGGGGCCCAATAGGGCCGATGCCGATTCGGAGTCGCGGAGAACCTAACGGGTAACCGGGGCTCCGGCTCGACGTGCAGGAGAAGGAACGGGGTGGTTTTTAGTCAGTAAGAGTCTGACACTCCCTTCCGCCTCACCCAGGCGGGAGCAGTCATTCGATGATTTTCCCCCCTTAAAAAAAAAAAAAAAAAAAAACATTTACTAACATTTCGGGTCACAGCATTTAAGCTGAGCTCTAGCCTTTTGCGCCGTCTTCACTGTATTAATTTTTTTGTGTGTTATTGTACTTTGTGGACGGTGTGCAAATAAACAATTTTTATTTCTTTCTTTCTTTTTTCTTTCTTCTATTTATGAGCTCTGAGCTTGAAATAAAGATTAGGTAATATTCTATTCTGTTGCCACATCAAATGATATGGCCACATCTAAAATTTTCTTCAATCAAGTTCGTGCTCAGTGTATGGATTATTATGAAAGTCAATGAGAGCTTATTAAAACCCGTTAACTACTTGATTGAATGAGACTAATTAATAACACAAAGAGTAGAATTTAAGAGCACTTTAAGTTTCTAACGCCTCTATCTTCTACTTCATGAAATAACACATAGCTTAGCACATTCTATCTATATTCTATATATAAAAAAAGGAATCCCTTTTTCCCTTGGTCACGGCATCACGCGTGAATGGCTGGACTGATTTCACTAATTCTTATTTTGTTGTAGGTATTTGTTATTATTATGAGAAGGCTCTTAAGACAGAAAAAATCCTGAAAATCCTACGGGAACGGGACAAGCGGGATTGCGCGTACGAAGTCGCAGGCAGAGGCTAGTTACTTATATTAGTACCTACATAGGTACGTACTATATCTAAATTCCATTTTCAAAACTATTATTCACAAATACCAATATTTTAGAGTCCAAGTCTGTGTTTTCCTGAAGGGTACAACCTGGGTGTCTTCAAGTTTCAAGTAAAACGTTGCTTATGGGTAGATGTGCTCCATCGTAGGCCGCATCGCTTACCATCAGGTAGCCAAACACCTAATAAAAAAAAACTTCAACAAAGCATTTTTCAGCAGACGTGAATGTTCTTACATGTTATCAAAACTATTGTTCAAACATGTTCTACCACCTCTATTCAACCAGCACTACATATTTAAACACAGCCGACATTTTGACCTCACACGCCTGCTATGCACGTGACCAACTAGCCTGCAAATATACACAACAGCACATCAACCTTCACTAATCTATACAATACATTATCTACTTTACTTTTATAGCTATAAAGTTGATAATGTGTAGATAATTTCTAACAATTTATACGTAGGGAAACGTGATTTGGGGCATTCACGAGTCAAATTGGGTTAACTAACATTTTCTTGGTCGTACTCGTAGCACGCGTATTGCGTTGCTTCTTCGATAAGATACGTCTTATGACCTTACTTAATGATGGAAAGGTAATAAGGAATAGTTTGAATAATAAGGGAGATATTAAGGTAATTTGAAAAAGCAACACAAAATTGACAACCTGATACTCTTAAATTGCAATTTGCAATAATCTGACAATCCTAGGATTGTGGCAAAGCCTCGTAGGTACCATTTGTAGTCTCTTTTAGAGGAACCGGTGCCTCCATACAGGTGTTAAGGGGGGGCACCGAAGTGGTTTTAGTGGGATAAAAATCCCACACTCCCTCGTCTTTTATCACCAAAAGGCTATGCCTTTTGCAGGTTCCCCCCCTCGGACATCAAAAAAGGTACCTTTTGTAGAGGAGGCTATACTTTAACAATGGGATGTCTTCGGCCCTAGTCCAGTGTCTATCCAATGAACTATTAGGGTGTTGATGATGATGATGACGCCGTAGGTATTTTGTAATAGCTCAGTAAAGATTAACGGCCATCTGGGAAACGCTGATCTATGTAGAAGTGTAGAAATTGCAGGTGAAGTAATGAATTAATTACTAACAATTACATATAATTAGTAAAGTAATTAGTTTAGCGTGTTTCGTTGACTGAGTTCTTTAAGTCTAGTACGAGGATCAATTTCATGAATTCGATTCGAGTGAAATAAAATAATGGGGGTAATTGCGCCTCCAGTAATCTCACCCACTCGACGAAACACAACACAAGCGTTGTTTCACGTCGGTCTTCTGTGAGGCCGTGGTATCACTCCAGTCGAGCCGGTCCATTCATCATTCCACTTACACATTCGTAATACTATAAAATAATGGCTACAAGACAGTTATTCGTAGTAGTGTGAAGTTTGAAACTGCGATAATACTGGAGTAATAAATCTGTCAAATTCACCCATGTTATAAGGTAACACGTATACCAAGGAAGACGTATACTATAGATAGACTTGGGCTCCCCGAAAAGCCAACAGACCACCACAGATGGGGCCTGGTAGGCTGATGCCCAAATCGGAACTGTGGACATCTTAACGGGTTAGCCGGAGTCGGAGCTCCGGCTCGAAGCATGAGTAGAAAAATAGTGGGAGTGGCAGACTCTTTGATTAGTCTAAGAGTCTGCCACTTCCTTCCTTCTCATCCACGGCGCGGCGGGAGAAGTCATTAGATGATTTTCACCCCTCAGAAAAAAGACGGCCATCTCGCTGACTGCTGACCCAGCAATGAAACGCAAGTACGCAACAAGCAATGTATAATGTTGAAAGTGTTCAACAATACTGCTGAAGCGGTTAAATCTGAACTTTTACCTACTATATTGGCATTTTATAACCCAATCAACGCGTCTACATTTTGTAATAAACTTTTTACTACTTTTTGGTAATTCGAAGGAAGTAATTAAGATAAATAATAGTTATTTGATTAGTAATTCTTCATTATGTAAGTTTAGCAGAGGAAAATGTTTCGTATTTGCATCTTATTGTACGGTAAGATTAATTTATATGTTTTTTACATATTGTATCAATTACAATTGGAAACAAAGTAAATAGATATTATCTGCGCATTATCTTGGCTTCCACAATAACTTTATTTTGATATATTTTACTATGAGGTATAAGGTATATGGTACATATATAAAATATCGTAGAAAAAGCTCAATAAAAAAAACTCGACATTCTGTGCTTGAAAACACTAGAAGAGGTATCAGAATGCAACCAGAACGTACGAAAAGGCACTAACACCCGCCGGAGTCGCCGGAAGGTTGCCGTATAGGTACCGTGGCCCTGCCTTAGAACAAGTTTGTATGAGCTGGTTTTCAGTCAGTAGGTAAGACTTAGACAGTCCCTCCCGCCTCACCCAGCCAGCCATGATGGGAGAAGCCTTTTTTACCTACAAAAAGATATGAATAATAAATTAGTAGCCAAAATATTACGGGAATGCAATACAAATAAAAACAATTTAGTTTTTTCTTTGAAGAAATATACCCAAATTCTTAATTTTCCAGGTCTTTCACTAACCGAAGCCTACACAGTCAAGGTCTCAGGTAAAGTGGAGCTGGGCAACAAACTGTCGAAGCTGTTCAAAGACTTGTACACACAACTAATAGAGAGCGGAGTGGTCCCAGAACATTCCCCGATTAATGATGAATCTGGACCTACAGATGGCGTAACCAAAAAAAATGTGGAATTATCGCAAGAAAGCACCGAAGATACAGCGAAAGATTTTGTCGATAAAACTAGGCAAGACAAGAAACAAAAGAAGAAAAGAGAAAAACGTGTCGTAGAGGCCTCCACGTCTTCCTCTCGTGACCTCCCCTTACTGGATAAAATAATGAAGAATGAATTAGAGAAACTCCACCTGTATGGTTACCATAAGTCCCCGGATAAAGAGACAGATGACCTCGGGAAGCCTTTGAATAATGTACACATTTAATATCTGACAATAAATCGATACTCATATAGGGTGTGTTTCTTTGAATGTGCTGAGGTCCGGAACTACTAGTAGGTTCGATTTTTTTTTGTTTTCGAAGAAGTAACTCGATTATAATCGGAGGCCTATAATTATAGGCCTCCGTCGTGGCTCTAAACTAGTCGAATAACTTCGTAGTTCGTACTTCGAATTTCTATCTTATATAGTAATTAATACCTTCCTTTCCAGCTAGTCAAATGACTGCCAAATAAACAGTAAGTTAACAATATAGGTAATTAAAAAAATATTATTAAATATAATATAATTTATTACGTTACCTAATATTATATTTTAAGCGACACAAAAATAGAAGAGGCTTCTAGAAAAATATAAAAAAATCTTGTTGAAATTCTGTTCAATTTTGGTTCACAGAAATACCTGTAAAGAAAAATATGTGGACACAAACACATCAAACTACCAGTATCGGACAAACTTATTAATACACTTTTAACCTTAAATCTCTGCAATAAGGTGGAAATTCTATTGTAGATTTTATTTACTGGCGTCTGTAAGTCATCTTTAGTTGAGATGACAGATAACCTCAATTGTAATGATAAGTTGAACTGCATTTACCTCATTGAGCGATCGTTATCTACAACTTCAAGGAAATAAAAACGAACACATTTGAATTATAATAAAAAAACCTTTGTTAGGAATATCTTTTTAAATTTTAAAAATACAATGTTAGTGTATTTACATAAATAATGGTACGCTTTTTGATCTTATAAGGGGTAAGTAGAGGCGCAAGCATTTTTAATATTCGCTAACTTCATAAGTTCATATACATAACATGACGCTTTTTATCCCCGCCCTTTTCACTATTTATGAGACCCATGTAATAGGCCGTCAGCCTATTGCTATATTATTATATCAGGCACAATTCCAGACTCCGTGCTAAGATTGAGATTTTTTTAAACCAGTAGTACTTTGCCCGATCCGGGAATCGAACCCGAGACCGCTTACCCGGCAGTCGCACTTGCGACCACTCGGCCAACGAGGCAGAACAATTTTACAAAATTGAAAAAATACTCAAAGTCAAAATCATTTATTTCAATTAGACCAGGAAGGCACTTTTGAGTGTCAACAACAAAAAAAGAAGTGAAGCTAGTTAGCTCAATAGTTCTTGATCAATAAGGCTATTAATTAGTCAAGTTTGGTTCATAAACAAATGAAAATTAAAACGTTAATGTATGCAAAGTTGTTATAAATAAATAATGTATCAGACTGGCCCGTTGTTCTAGTGGTAAAAGTACGATTACTGACATGATTCCATTTATTATAAGTTTTTTTCTTCGTTTTTTAATATATTTATTTAAGAATGCACGTGCGAGGGCCATGCTTCGTACGAATGGGCCGGCTCGACGGGAGTGATATCGCGGCCTCACGGAAAATCGACGTGAAACAACACTTACGTTGTGTTTCGTCGTGTGAGTGACGTTGCCGGAGACCCAATTGTCCTCACCATTGTCTATCCCTAATCGCTAAATTTCCAAAAGGCGTTTTTTTTTCTCTTTGCCAATGTGCAACAACAATATATCGTCTCACAATCCTGTGACAAGGATGTGTTGCAATCACAACGAGCTAATCTCGAGTGACATGGGCGTGCCTGATATCCACAATACCTCGCTTCACATATTTAAAAATATTATTAGGAAATTGTTATTTCCTTGGTCTGATAATGAGGATAATATTGAATAATGTATCTATTGTTTAATTGCATTGTTAATTTCCGTTCTAGATTATAATTTATTATAAATAATTGTTAATACCTAAATAAATACTAGTCGTTGCATGTCATGTTGTGTGCACATACTTGTGGAAGCATGGTCTGCCATTTACAGTCTTATGTTGTGTAATGCGATGTGTTTCTGTTTTGTGTAGGTACCTATTGAATAAATTTATTTATTTATTTATTTATATTTATTTATAAACTATATACATACTACTATCCTAACAGGAACTAATACCTAATGCAATAGTGTATGCCAATATTAATAAAATTAAATTACAAGTCTATTCTACAATTAGGTACTACAACATTCATAATTATGGTAACAAACATATTCCTTAAGCAAAGTCACAGATGGGTACAGGTACAGTAACAGGCTCTTCTGAATTCGTTCAGTGTACAATAAAATAAGTCAATGTATTCCGACATCGCATTGAGCGTCCGCAGCGCCCGCGTCAGGGGCGCACGCTGTAGGAGGTTGGTGCGTGCGCGTGGTATCGCCAGCAGCGCTGGCTTACGCCGGCGCGCCGCGTATGCATCCGGTACGCATAAATGGATCAGCTCCAAAACCCTCGGGTTATATAATTTGCCGCGAAGCACTTTAAATAAGTACGTAGCGACAGCTACTTCCCTCCTCACTTCAATTTTAAAATATCCCACCATGCCCAATACAAAAAGAGTCGGATATAAAAGCGGGTAACCCGGATAGACACCATACATTTTCAAGTACAAAAATCTAACAAATTTGTTTTGGATACGCTCTATCATCAGTTTGTACCTGACTTCATGCGGTGACCAGACCACGGCATTACACTCCAAATGACTTTTTACATGGGCTTCATACAGTGCTTTCAATGCATTAAAGTTGGTAAATTGGTTACCTAAACGTAATACCATTCCTAAATTTCGGTAAGCTTTTTTGCAAATATTCACAATATGAGTCCTAAAATTCAAATCTGTAGTAAAGCGTACACCCAAGTCCCTGACCTCAAAGACCCTCTGCAGTGGCCTTCCGGCCATGCAGTATTGGTGATGACTCGGGTTATGAGCTCGGCTAAACGATAACACGGAACATTTGGCAGCGTTGAAAAATAATCGGTTTTCTATACTCCATTCCTCAATTTTAGCTATATCCTGTTGTAGAATGTAATGATCCTCTGTTTGTTTTATTTTTAAAATTAATTTTAGGTCGTCAGCAAATAATAACGGTGTGGAATTATTAACTACGCTCGGCAAATCATTTATAGTTAAAATGAAAAGTAGGGGCCCTAAATTACTTCCCTGGCTTACCCCTGACCTAGTAAAGTAGGGCTCAGAAAGACTTCCGCCACAGTCGACGTACTGACATCGGTCTCTCAAGTAATTTGAGAAGAATGTCAGTGTGTGCGGTGTGCAGCCTACACTGGCCAGCTTTGACAGAAGGATATCATTATCTACGGTATCAAAGGCTTTCCGAAAATCAAAGTAGGCTACGTCCACCTGTTGTCCAGCATCCACCGCCGGTACAACGTGTGTCATAAGATCCAGCAAGTTCCCAGTCGTTCCCCGCCCAGGACGAAAGCCATGTTGTGCGTCCGACAGCAAAGGACCCACCTGTGAATACAGGCTGCTGTGAATGGCCGACTCAAACACTTTAGCTGGAGTGCACAATACTGCCACAGGTCTATAGTCACAAGCTTCAGTGCCACCACTGCCTTTCGGCACAGGCACTACCCGAGTGAGTTTCCAACGATCGGGAAACGTTGCTGTTCGAATAAACACGTTGTATAAATGTAACAACGGATCCACCAATACTGCACTGCAATCTCTAAAAATAAAGGCCGGAATACCATCAGGTCCAGCGGAACGCTTAGGGGGCAAGCGCGCGAGCGCGGTCCGCACGTCGGCGCGGCGCAGCAGCGCGAGGTGAGCCCGCGCCGCTCCCGCCGCGCCCGCCGCACGGCTCGCGCCCGCCGCCGCCGCGCTCAGTACGGGAGGCTCCGGGTTATATACTGACTGGAAGTAACGAGCAAATTCATTAGCACACTCATAGTCCGCTAGCATCCGCCCATCTTTAATTAATTTCCTATTATTTGTATTCCCCCTCCTGGATCTAACGTACTCCCAAAACGCTCTTGGCTCTCTAACCAAATGCTGTTGAACGCGGTCGCGGTACATGTCATGAGCACGTGCGATCTCAGCCTTGACTCTCGCCCTATATCTTGCAAACTCCATGTAGTCATTCGGTAGTTTACTAGATTTGTACTTTTTATGCAATTTGTATTTAATTTGTATGTCTTTAATTAGGTCAGCTGTGTACCATACCGGGTATTTATACCTATTATTGTTCATGAGACTATTCTTTTTTATAGGAACACACATATTAAACACGCCATATAACTTCTCATAAAACAAATTTATAACTAGTTCCTGGTCTTGTAAACAATACATCTCACTCCAGTCTATTTTAGCTAATAAGTCGTACATTGTAATAAAGTCAGCTTTATTGAAGTTCCATAATAATTCACGATTTATCGCGGATTGCGCAAGCTGACTATTGTGTAATGAAGAAGTGTGTGTAGGAGACGAACGATTGTGTGCGCGAGGTGCAGAAAGAGCAGAGGGCGCAGGAGGGGCGCGGGACGGCGGCGTTGGCGGCGGCGGCGACGATGGCAACCGCGCGGTCGCAGCGCGCGCGCCAACATCGACGCTGACGGCCAGCGGCGGATGATATTCGTCCACCGGCTGCAAACCCTCGTCCGCTGCGCTCACTGACACGGACCCGTTCGCGCTCAGTACTAAGTCTAACTGTCTATTGTGACTATTAGGTACCGCGTTACACTGAACGAATTCACAGAATGCCATAAAATATTCGTAATAATTAAAAATGTTATTGTTACACGAGTACAAGTTAAAATCTCCTAGTATAAGTAAATTATTTTTATATTTTACACATAACTTTTCCAATATGCGAAACAGCAATATATATTCATTATCGTCAGTATTCGGCGGTATGTAAACAGTACAACAAGCGAATAAAAAACGACTTTTTAAGTACACAGCAGCACAAATAAGTTCAAAACTTTGATTGTCAATATTTACATCAATTGGCACTGGCACTCGCCTTAACTCATACCTCGGTGTGGCCACTAAAAATACGCCTCCTTGTTTACGCCCATCAGCTCGGTCGCAGCGCAGTATTTGATATCCAGGAAGCACAAATTCTGCGTCGTGAATACCTTCATTGAGGCCAGATTCTGTGATCGAAAATAAATCAAAGCCTGCTGCTTCTAACAAATATAGAAATT